CCCCTTCACCTCCAGCGGCTCGCTCACCACCGGCTCCTCCATGACCCTGAGCCGCTCCTTCACGACCGGCGCCGGCTCCTCCCACCTCTCCACTCGCTTCCAGAAGAGAGGCAGCGGGAACGCGTCCTTCCACTCCAGCGACGACAGCGGCTTCAGCAACGAGAGCGGCAGCATCAGGCCTCCCATGAACCCCGAGGCTGATTACTCCGACGATGATCTCAACGGGTGAGTTGCGGTTTGCTTCCCCGTGCTTGGTTCCCTCTTGCATCATGTGTCTTATTTCCCCCTAGAGATAGTGTCATGTTTGTGATGTCGTCTTTTGCTTTTCATGTGTTTTGTCCCTTCTGTGTTTTCTTTTGTTTTACCTTCGCCTTCCTTTGCTTTGCCAGACTTGCCCCACATTCCATGAACAGCCTCAGCTCCCGCTGGCTGAGGTCCTCCACAACCCCGCCGTTTAACACGGAGCCGGTCTCTCTCCCTTGCCTCCTCAGCCCCGAGTCCTGCCATTCCAGCGACCAACAGTCCTTCCAGTACATAGCAGGGGACCAGGACGCCACCATGACCCTTCCGACGCCTGGTCGTAAACACAAGAGCGACAGCGTCAAGCACAGGGATCTCTCCCTTCCCTCTCTCTCCATTGATCACTTTGTGACACTGGCAAGGAGGAAGACCAACCGGTCCTCGCCCTGCGCCCAGAAGATAGCCGCCCAGAGGGAGCGCGGCCGAAGTCAGGAGCGAGGCCGACGGACCGTGCGGAGGAGTTCGTCTCTCCTCTGCCTGGGCATGGACTCCTGCCGCGGGATTCCTGACGACCTGCAGAGTGCTGACTACGAGGACGTCTGGTCTGAGGACTGGAGACATTCCTCACTCGTTGATGTAAGCATAGACATCCCGGACCCGCCGTCCTTCCAGCCCCCGGCGCCGCCCACGCCCGCCAGCACCAGGCCCACCGTGGATTACTCGATCCGCCCGCCGATGCCCCTGCCTCACGACGACCCCAACCCGTCGCCGAGGTCGTGCTCGAACACCAGGCAGAGCGAGTCATCTCAGCAGAACTCGAACTCGTCGTCTGGCAACAGCACTCTGACGGGGAGCGACGAGGAGGACAACGAGGAGGAAATCTACATGGTCGTCAGCGACCACAGGTGCGAAATGAGAAAGACGCAGATGAGGAAACAGGTGTCGCGCTCCCTCACGTGGGCGTCTCCCGCCCATCGGAGGTCTCCCCCGCCGCCCCCGCTGCCCATGTCCAACCCCCCGTCTTCCGCCGCCTCTTCCACCTCAACAAAAATCACGCAGATCAGAAGAAGCCACGCCTCTCCGCGACGGCCCGACGAGAGTCAACAACAAAGCAGCTTACCCCACTCGACGCTGCCGTCCCAGGCCACAGAGACGCCGCCGCTTCCCCCGAGGAGGACGCAGCGCCCTCCCTGCCCTCTCCCGAAGGAAAGCCGGAGGCAGTCTGTAGACAGGCTGCTCCTGCCGTGGCAATACGGCAGCGAGGTCAACATACTCAACTACAGCGATTACATGAACCGCCGCCTGAAGTATCCCGAGGGAGTGTCTCGTATCGACCAGCAGTCTTACACGACTGGGAACTTATGCGGTCCGTGGTACGACCTCTGGGCGGACGACCCCTCAGTGGCAGACGTATGATCCTCGTGCCTTTAGGTCGCGGGAAAGACCCATTTTGTATATATGACAAAACTGCTCACAGAAGGCCAAAAAAACTAAGACTTAAAGTGTTCTTGCTGTGCATGAATACAGCTCTTTCTATTTTCCAGAAAGTTTTTGTGCTATATTCTTGTATAGAAGAAGTAGAATCTCTTCTCATTTGCAAGTTCAAAAGATTTTGTATATAGAATATATATAGAATTTATTGTGAATGTAGCCTTGTAGGGACTGTCCTTATTATTTTACCCATTATTTTTGTGTACATTTCATGCATAATATCTGTTTAAGTTCTGTTTAGTTAAGGATATTCAAATCAGTTTTTTTTCAATGTATATAGCACGTATGACACCAAGAGTAAATTTCCCTTAGTTACCCCTTCATATGACAATTTTCTTTGATGTTCTATGTTTGCGTATGTGCATGGGTAACTTTTATATTACTTTCAAATTTACTTTTCTTGGATTGCGTCCCTATTTCCTTCTTAATATAGACACTACCAATTGTTTCTTGCTAATTCAGTATCACAAAAAATACAATTCATTAAATCAACTAACAAAATTGTTCTAATTCTATTTTGTAAAAAAAAGAAAGAAAAAAAACATATATTACCAGAAAATAAGTAACGTCTCAGGCATGTTGTAAGATGTCGATAATTCTTGTATTTTCTAATATTCTTTTTCCAATTTTTGTAGAACGCCATTGTGTCACGACGACATCCAATTCTTATTTCAGGGTTTCAGTGGAGATCCAGCAAGAGCAGGCTCGCAAAACCTTAAATGCACATAAAAAGAGAGAGAAGAAAGCGCATAGATAGTGCAGTGTTCATGGATTTTATGATTAAATAAATATCATGTTGTACAGTGTCGATGTATTGTTCGCTTTTATAGTGTCAGAAAAAAACAAACAATTGTATCACATATGTACGTTTAAAAAATTATTCCATTATCATATAATGTCTAACTTTGGAAGTATAGAAAAGTTAGAACATTATAAATTTTATTCTCATTCGCTGTACATATCATTGCTATGAATGTTGCTTCGGCACTAGAAATAATACTCAAGATCCGAAATATATTTCTGAAAGGAACATGTTTGTGGAATAATAAACATGAATCGCATAATATCTGTGACAAAATAAGTTAATGGAAGTTTGCGAATCAACAGAGGTCGTGTTCAGTTACTATGGATTGTGTGGTTTATCCTACAATCAACACATTTCCGACCAAAAAAAGGACCTCATTTGTGAGCCAGGCAAGTATACTGCAAATACTCTAACATTTACAAAAGAAAAGAAAAGAAAATAAATGAAAAGAAAAGAAAAGAAAAGAAAAGAAAAGAAAAAAATAGAACAAAATAAAACCTAACAGTCACGTTGTGTTCACAGACTAGAGATTTCATTCAGACACCCAAAGGAAAGTCTGTGGAGAGTTTGTGTCGTTTTATCCTGGTGCTCTACAAACCACGAGTTCTGTCTTCCATCAGGGGCTGTGTGACGTCATCAGGGTTTATGTAGCGTCATCAGGGATCATGTGACGTCATAAGTAAGCACAGCGAAAGACTGGCGTTTGATTTGGTGTTTTGCAAATATAGGAGAAAACTGCTACGTTCACCGCTTCTTTGTGTCGCTTTCCTACTTCTTTTCCACTTCATTTGTCCTTTTCTCTCTATAGCTTTTTATCCTCGTGTTAATTGTTCTCGTTCTGATATGTACTTTGAGGGATATTAATAGGTCTATGATAAGAAAAAAAATACTGAATATACGTTAGTATTATTGATCAAATCTCAAATATTCCACCATTATTACTGAAATGTAAATTACAGAAACTCAGTTGATTAAGGGTTTTGTGTCTAAAATAGACACAAGAATATGCCTGTGATCATAGTACGCTAAAAGATACTGCACCTAAAGTGTACTTACATATTTTATCACTTAAACCCAGACCACTTTAAATTCCATCATGAATGTATTAGTCTCACCTTAAAACATTACTTCCCACAGCACTTCAGGTTCCGTTTTCTACCAGTGCAACTCTCACGCGGAGACTTTCACATCTTGTTGAATAGTCAGGTGATCGTCTTATAATTGTACAGTTTTATGTATAGATTAACAAAGCTATGGGAAATCATATGTTATAGGTTTCCCAGTCTGTAGAATTTAGATATAAAGGAAATAAATATACCCTAAAAGCTCTCTTGTTTTATTTGTATAAAATTATCACATACAAATCTGTACATTTTAAATGGTTATAAATTCTCTGTATATATTTTTTTTTTATAAACGTAACGCATTTTCAACATATGATATTGCCTCTTTAGTCCTAAAATAAAACAGGCCAGGTTATAACAGTTTCTAATTTCATATCTACAAACATGCAAAACCGATTTAACATTCACACAACACGTAAGATAAACATTGTATGTTGTGATTCTTAAAACCCGTTCCACTTTTACATATATTCTTTCTATATATCAACTTACGCATATCAACCATATATAGCACTTCAATGTTTGTACAAAATACGATTATAGATTGTGGTTGTTGGTGAAGTCAGTAAAAGGTCCCCTGCTTTTACATGTAGAAAAATATATGCTGTGTGCTGCAAAGACCACGTCCACTAAGGTAACTTTTGTATAGGACGTTCAGTGTGTAGAAAGAGGAAATACAAGTTGGTGATTAATCATATAAACACGTAGGTATATCTGTGTGTGTGTGTGTGTGTGTGTGTGTGTGTGTGTGTGTGTGTGTGTGTGTGTGTGTGTGTGTGTGTGTGTGTGTGTGTGTGTGTGTGTGAGAGTGTGAGTGTGAGTGTGTAAGTGTAAATGTGACTGTGAATGTGACTGTGTGTGTAAGCGTGTGCGTGCGCGTGTGTATGTGTAAGCATGTATTAATACACGGACTTAAGTGGTCCTTTTCAACATACACTATTTACCGTGTAATAGGTATAATGTATTCCCCTGAAAATCCAGACAAATGTAAACCTCAACAAAACAGTCCCCAGTTAGAGAAATTTAGCGATTAATGCCTTTCTTTCTCACTGTGACCGCGTTTAACTGTAGACAAGTTGAGGTTGTCCAGTCATAGAACACTTAACATGAGGACAGAAGACATATGTAACCTGGGAAATCAGACTCGTACAGGACTATTAGATTTAGAAGCTAAAGAATATTAATACTAGAAGACAACCGACGTATTGCCATATCCCTCAACAACCGACGTAATACTGGCTGATCGAAAAATTAACTAAAATGCTTTTTCTAATGACCGTAAATCAATGCAAGGAAGCAAATGGCGACGCCTATAAAAATCCTATAGGTCCTGTAAGCAC